CGCTGGTAACGGGGCACGGGAGCTGCGGGGGGCACGGAGGGTGGGGGACAGGATGGAGATGATGCTGGGGCTGGGTGTGGGGTCAGGGATGGTGGGGACAGGATGGAGGCACTGCTGGGGCTGGATGTGGGGTCACAGAGTGTGGGGAAAGGCTGGAGGCATTATTGGGGCTGGATGTGGGGTCAGGGATGGTGGGGACAGGATGGATGTGGGGTCACAGATCATGGGGACAGGATGGAGATGCTGCTGGGGCTGGATGTGGGGTCATGGATGGTGGGGACAGGCTGGAGACACTGCTGGGGCTGGATGTGGGGTCAGGGCTGGTGGGGACAGGATGGAGGCATTGTTGGGGCTGGATGTGGGGTCACAGATCATAGGGACAGGATGGAGACACTTCTAGGGCTGGATGTGGGGTCAGGGATGGTGGGGACAGGCTGGAGACGCTCCTGGGGCTCTCAGGTTACTGCCCAGCGCTCCGACCTGGCTCCTGTAATCCAGGAGGGTTTAATTAATTAATAGAGGTTGGAGCACGGGGGAAAGCGATGCCGGGGGATGGAGAGCAGAGCAGCAGGATGCCATCCACCCACTTGGCATTCAGCCATGGGTTCAGGGGGCTGGGAATGCTGGGGGGCAGAGCAGGGGTGTTTCCCAAAGCAGTGGGAGGGAAATCCAGGGAGATGGCCACAATTCAATGTTTATCCTGCTGAGAAACGACGTTTCTGTGTTGGAGCAAACTTGTAGCAAGACAATCCCAGTTACTACGGCCGCGGTGTGAAGGTGGAGGAGGCAGAGGAGGAGGAAGAGGAGGCAGAGGTGCCTCTGCTCTGAGCTGCAGCTTTGTGGAGCCTCCCCCTCTGCGCTGCTCCATGAATTAATGAAGTGCTTTTCCTTTCCTGCATGAAATATTCACCTGCTGCCAAGGGAACTGGGGGGGCTCGGGGAGCCAAGCCCGTGGAGCTGCTGGTGGGAGCCAGGTGGAAGGGACAGGCAGGGAGAGGGAACTTTGGAGCAGGTAGAAATGATAGCTGGGGTGATATCACTGCTGGGTTGTCACTTGGCAGCTCTGCTGTGGTGCCACCGGCGCCAGGTGACCACAGGGTGACAGGGTCTTGTCTTCCCTCCTCAGACAGGAGCTTTCTGATGATGGTTGATGATGGATGCTTGTGCCCTCAGCGGTGTGGAGAGGTTTTTTTGGGCAATCAGGTCACAGTCGGGTGTTGGGTGAGGTGCAAGCCCAATGGGGTGAGCGCCAAACCGGAGATGAGCACGGCACGTGTCTGTCCCCAAGGGGACCATGTCCATCCTGTGACAGGGCCACCCTCTGTGTGCTCACCCCAACCCTCACACCACCGCTCAGGGCTGCAAGACTGCCCCAAAAACCTCCAAGATGGGTGGAAACCCTGCAAGAAAGGGCTGTACCTGTCCCCAAAGCCACGGTTGGGACCGCAGCCCTGCCGCACTCTTCCGGAGCAGGGAGGAACTGGGTGACAGCAGCGCGGGCTGCTCCACTTAGGAAGAAGGAGAAGTTGTTGTTTTTTAGGGTGTTTTCATTAAAAAGAAGAAGGGGGTGGAGGGGAGCCCAAGCCCTGAAGCTTCAGCGACAGGAAGGAAGTGAAGTGGGTTATTTCAGGCTCCAGTTGGCTGCTCGGGGCACGGCTCGACTCCTCCTTGCTCTGATAGCAGCCCCTGGTGAACAATGGGGTCCCGGGGCCCTTCCCGGCAGGAACACGGCTCGTTCCGGTGAAATCTCCCGCTCCTGCTGAGTCAGCAGCTCCTGCTGGGCCGGGTGTGCTGTGAGGGCGCCCGGGGAACCGTCCCGGTGCAGGAGGTGAGCCTGCCTTGCCTTGGGGTTTGCAGGGAGCAGCCTATAAAGCATCCCTGGGCACTGCAGAGGGAGCTGGTTGCATTTTTGGGATCCCCATATCACTTTTTGGGGTCCCTAGACCCCCCCCCCAAATAATGCTTTGTGCCTCAGTTTCCCCCCGGAGCGCTGCTCCTGCTCTGGAGCAGGGGAGGGCTGTGAGCAGCCAGGTGTTGTTTGCTGCAGGGAGCTGAGGGTTGATCCATTATTGCAGCTGGCGTTTGGGAGCCGTGGGCAGCTCGCAGGACTTGGCACTTCCTATTTTTCATGGGCTCTGGAGGTGGAGTTTGCACTCGGTTTTGTGTCTGTGGTCAGCCAGGGCAGAGAGCTGGGGTGTGGGAATCCCTATGGGTGTGGGAATTCCTATTTATCCAGGCACCGTTCCCAGGGCACCCCACAAGGCTGGGGAGGGAAATTCCAGGCTGTCAACAGCACAGCACAGCCCTGCTCCCTCTGGACAGGATGCCTGGCACGGGTGAAATGAATTCCCTCACAGCCAGGGCACAGGAGATGGAGCTGCCCCTGCCCATCCTGCCCATCCCTCCCTCCTGCATGCAGCCACTGCAATTCCATCAGCCCGACCCAGGAGCTGCTGTCACCAGGCTCTGCCTTGTCATTTTTGTCTTATTAAGTGTGAGAGCCTCAGCTTGAGGCTCAGGCTGACAGAAATCAATGTTTTGCCACCGTAGGAAATGCTCCCAAACCTCCGTGTTTTTCCTGAGGGCTGTAAATAACCCTGCAGGCGACGTCTCTGTCACTGCTCCTGGAATCCTCATCCCCACAGAGCCTTGGCTGCCCTCGGGTTTGGGAGATGCTCAGGGAGCCAGGGCTCAGCTCCATCGTCCTGGCATCACTGGGGGAGCCTTGGATGATGGATCCAAGGAGGGATCCCTGAGGAGCTGGGGTTTGCTCCTGAGGGGCTGCTGGGTGCTCCAGAGGGGTGGGAGCAGCCCTGGGGATCCCCAGAGGGGTCTGGGATTTTCAGCTTGGCCAGGGGGGAATGACAGAGCTGCCTGTGGTGGGGACATCACAGACTTGGTTCTGTGACAATCCCAGAGTTGTGGAATGGTTTGGGTTGGAAAAAGACCAAAAGTTCATCTCATCCCACCCCTGCCATGGGCAGGGAAACCTTCCCCTACCCCAGGCTGCTCCAGCCTGGCCTTGGACACTTCCAGGGATCCAGGGACAGCCATGGCTGCTCTGGGCACCCTGTGCCACAGCCTCAGCTCCATCTCAGGGAACGATTCCTTCTTAACATCAAATCTAAACCTGCTCCCTATCCATGGCAATTTATCCCCATCCATCCTCACACCAGCAGCATCCTTCAGCTGAAATATCTCCTCTCCCCTCCCCGGGGATGTATTTATAGGCTGATCCCCTCCCCTCCTGCTCTGCCAGCCTGTCCCTGCCATGTGCAGGCTCCTGCAGAAGCAGCTCCCAGCTCTGCCCATCCATCCTGGTTGTTTTCCTGCTGTTTCTCCCCTGCCTGTGATTTGTAGCTCTGCGGTTTCCCAGGCCAAGATGCATCTCCAGGGTTGGTTTTAATCGTTCTCAGCAGAGTTTAAAGCCGTGCTCTGCCCCAGGTGATGGATTTGGTCCCGTCGGGATGTGGGAGCGGGGCTGTAGATGAGGCTCCTGTCTGGGTGAATTATTCACCTCTGGAGGAGGCTGGGGCAGCAGCACAGCAAGTCCCAGCTCGTGTGGGTGTTCCAGGGTGAGCAGTGCCAGGGAAGAGGGCTCCCAGCCAGTGCTGGGTGCTGCAAACCGGCTGTGCCACCGCGGCCAGAGCAGGGTGGAAGTGGCACATGGCAAAAGGGGGTGACTCAGCTGCCACCTGGGCTGTCCCCAGCTCACCCTGCAGGAAATGAGTCAGGTTTGAAGGAAGGAAAAATGCTCAAACGATGGGGCAAGAGTCCTTCCTGCAGCAGGAGGAGTTGGTCACAGGAGGGACAGGATGGAGGGTCACAGGCTGTGCTCAGGTAGGGACACCTGGCTCGCTGCAGCCTCTCCACAGAGTTTGGGAAAAGGGAGGTGGGAACAGCCTGGAACTGATCCCACCAAGCAAACCTGGGGGGTGAGCTCAGCTCTCACCTGCCCTGGCACCCAGGAGCTCCCTCAGTGTTGCCATTGGCTGGAGATGCTCTTTCTCCTGCCAGAAATCTGTGTGGGGAGGTCAGGAATCACAGAACATGGACTGGGACATCTCCTGCCATGGACTGGGACATTCCACCAGCCCAGGTGAGACGGGGATGGGTGCAGAGCAGGTTCTGACCCGTGTGTGCCTCTTCCCCTGCAGAGATGGACACCTTCAGCACCAAGAACTTGGCCCTGCAGGCCCAGAAGAAGCTCCTGAGCAAAATGGCCACCAAGACCATCGCCAACGCCTTCATCGACGACACCAGCAGCGAGATCCTGGACGAGCTGTACCGGGCCACCAAGGAGTACACCCACAACCGCAAGGAGGCCCAGAAGATCATCAAGAACCTCATCAAGATCGTGATGAAGCTGGGCGTCCTCTACCGCAACGGGCAGTTCAGCCCCGAGGAGCTGCTGCTCATGGAGCGCTTCCGCAAGAAGGTTCACACCTTGGCCATGACGGCCGTCAGCTTCCACCAGATAGACTTCACCTTCGACCGCAGGGTCATGTCGGGCGTGCTGACCGAGTGCCGGGACCTGCTGCACCAGGCGGTCAACGGGCACCTGACGGCCAAGTCGCACTCGCGCATCAACCACGTCTTCAACCACTTTGCGGACTACGAGTTCCTGTCGGCGCTCTACGGCCCGGCCGAGCCCTACCGCACCCACCTCAAGAGGATCTGCGAGGGCGTCAACAAGATGCTGGAGGAGGAGAGCATCTGAGCCGGACTCTGCCTCGCGGTGTCTGCTTTGGCCTTCGCCGGGCTCGCCGTGCCCTCCTCCTCCTCCTCCTCCTCCTTCTCCTCCTCTGCAGTGCTCTCTCGTGTTCTCCTCGTTTCTCCAAGAGATTGAACCTGATGACTTTGTGTGCCCAGGGTCTGCAAACCCCTCCCTGCACTGGGCTGAGCCCTCTCCAGGCCATGCTGGGATTTTGGGCCCCTGCTGTACAGTTGGATTTCCTTTGCCCACCAAGTGCCTTTAGCTCAGAGTCCAAGGGTTTGGACTCTTTGCCTTGAACTCTGTTCCCTCTGAGGGGAAACTGAACCAAAGACTCGCGGTGTGAAGCACCTCTGAGGTGTCTCTGAGCAGGTGGGAGGTGTTGGGGGATCAGTTCTGAGACCCCATAACTGCAGGGCTGTGGAACGCCGTGGTTTTCCTCCAGCAGCTCCACAACGTGGTTGGGAGCAAATCATGGTCCAGACTTGTGCTGGGTGCCTCAGGCAGGAAGGGGCTTCTGCCTGGGCTTAGGTGTCCTCAAAGACAAATCCCTGAGGCCAGGAGGAGCCAGGTGGATCCCTCCTGACCTGGGGGAGGGCTGGGAGGAGCTGCTCCATCCCTGGATGCCTGGAACCACCCAACAGCCCACCAGCCTGCAGTGGTGGTGCCACCTGGCAGCTCCAACGCTGCCCTTGGTGGTCAATCCAAAGCCCCCCTGGACTTCCATCCCTCTTCCACACCTGTGACCGAGTGATGTTCGTTTTTAGCAAACTCTGTAGCCCTGATGAGTTATTGAAATAAACTCACTGTGTGGCCTGGGAGCTCTGTGAGGGTGTTCTGGCAGTGGTGACAGTGACAGGATGAGCCCTGGGCACAGCTGGCTTTTCCCCCAGCTGCTGCTGGCTCTCTGTGGCCTGGGCTTTGTGCTCTGTGTCCCCTGGCACTGCTGCTGGTTGTGCTGTCCCTGGATTTGCATGGACAAAGGGAAATGGCTTCCCCTGCCAGAGGGCAGGGCTGGGTGGGATATTGGGAAGGAGTTCCTCCCTGTGAGGTGGGTGAGGCCCTGGCACAGGGTGCCCCATGCCTGGCAGTGCCCAAGGCCAGGCTGGACAAGCTTGGAGCAATCTGGGACAGTGGAAGGTGTCCCTGCCCATGGGAGCTTTAAGGCCTCTCCAAACCCCAACCATTCCGTGATTTGGTGAGATCCCGCTCCCAGCAGAACCCACAGGGGCTCCTCTGCACCCCCACACCCCCTCAGGGCCCAGGAGCAGAGCCCTGGCAGCAGGGGTGGCTCTGCAGGCACAGAGCAGAGCGGATGCTCAGGGCACTCCCAGCACGGCTCTGAGCACTGGAAATTGCCCTTTTAGCACCCGAGACACCACAAAACCTCCACTGGCCTTATCTCTGTGACCTTCTGGTGCCTCCTGTTCCCTGCATGTCTGAGGCACGGGCTCCTGCTCCCCTCCCACCCCTGGCACTGATAACTCTCAGCCTTAGAAGATGAAAGAAAAGACACAAAGGCCCTGTCTCTGTCATTTCACAGGCCTGGCTGCAGCTGTCACCGGTAATTGTGTGACACAGCTTGGGTGGAGGCAAAGCCCATTCACAAGGGGGTGTGGAGAACAGCAGGAGCCCTGGGGAGGGCAGGAACCAGAGCTGGGAATCCCAGGCAGGTGTGCTGGGATGGGGCTGAGGAATGCCCAGCCAGAAATGCTTTGCTGTTCCCAAGGTGTGTGTCTGTGTCAGCTGGAAAATCCCCCTAAAGCCTGTGCAGCCCCCAAATCCCTGTGAGACACCTCAGCTCCTTCTGGCCAAGCAGCAACAAAGGTCCCCAAAGCTGGAGAGGGGAGGATTGACAGAACAAAGCAGCTTCAGGCCAGAGCACGATGCTTTATTTCTTTATTTGCGCTGTATTTACACAGGAAAGGAATTGCACATTCCCTGTTATTACTCTGGATAAGAAAAAAATCATTTTCCTGTAGGTATAAAAGAGTCCCGTGGTTGTGCTGACACATGGAAGTGATGCCTGGACTGATTCCTGATTGTGGCAGAATGAGCTGCTCTGCCTCTCCCCAGCCCAGCCCCACACTCACCACAGAGTCAGAGCTTTGCCCAATCCCCTCCCTCCCCCTGGATTAATTATTTCCTCCTGTCACACTGGTGGAGAGAGCAATCCCATCTCCCCTCCAGGGACCACAGAGTTAAAACCTCCCTTTAGCAAGCCCTGCTTAAGTCCAGCCCCTTATCTCCCTGCACTGCTCTTGCCAGGCAGGCAGATAAGGAGCCCCTTTGCAGAGCCAGGCAGGAAGGGGCACAGCAGGATCAGGAGCCTCCTGGGCTGTTACTCTGACACAAGGCAGAACAAATCTGTCCCCAGCCCTCCAAGCCCCCACTCGTGTTGGTCCCCAGCACATTGCAGTGTGGAAAACATAAAAGGTTTGGCCAACCAAAAGAAAACCCTGCAGGAAATGCAGGAAATGCCTTCCCTGCCATGCTGGTGTGGCCATGGCCCCTGCCCAGGGCTGGCCTGGACTCACAGCTCATCACGGGGGGATTTTGCCACAATCATCAGCTTGGACAGCTCGAAACGGAACTTGCCTTCCCTGTGGGACACTGCAGAGACAGAGAGAGAGAAACCAGGGTCAGCAGCTGGAAAAGCAGCAACAAAACAGCTCCACTGAGCCATTCCCAGGGTGCTGGGCACTACTCTTGCACATGCCAGGCTGGGGTGAAACCCCTCCTTACCCAGGGATTTAACCCACAACATGCAGCTGCCAGTGGTGGGCTGAGAGCACTGCACCCAGCTCCAAGGCACTGCCAGCAGGATCTGAGATAAACTGGTGCCTGGCATGTCCCCCAGCCCAGCCCCTCTCTCACAGCCCCTCAGACACACACCTGTGGTTTCAGTGACCCCAAACTCCTCCTGCTTTAGGGGGATGTCGTTGAGGGCACCCGCAGCAGCCTGAGACTGAAACAGGAAGGAAGGAAGGGTGAGAGGCTGAGGCAATCCAGCAGGTCACACAATTCAAACCGACTGCAAATGAAGGGGTTTGGGATTTACGTGCAGGGAAAGAATTAAGAGCACAAAGGAAGTCTGAAGGAAAGTCTCTGTCTGCTTTTCTATGTCCTATTAAACCACGGGCTCGTGTCCTTGGGGTGAGTGAAAGCCTCACCCCTGGAAACTGGGAAATGGAAGAATGAGCCAGACAAAAACACCAGCAGAGGTTTCATTTGCTTTGTCACATGCAATTTGTTGAGGCAATCCAAGACTCCCTTTGTGCCCTTTGGAGCCCCCTCCCAGGCAATGCTGTGGCTGAGGGCAGGCACACAATGGAGCAGGCTGCCCACCTGCAGCCCCTCTCTGCCTGCCACCAGCCTCTAATTAGGGACGTGATGGAGCACATTTCATGGCACAGATGCCTAATAAATGTTTTCCATGTCTAATTCATGTTTTATAGCAGCCTCCCACACTCCTGCTTCCCCGGGATCAGCTGGGACTTACATAAGCCATGGCATGCTCGATCTTGGCTCCTTTCACTTCAGCTTTAAACTGGGTAAAGAACAGATAAGACTTCCCTTGGGGCCTGAAAGAAGAAAGCAGAGCCTTTGTCATGGGCACAGAGGTGCAGAGGAGGAGGAGCAGAGGAGAGGAGGATTCCTGGCTCCCTCCCTGCCCCCACAGCCACCTCTGGATCTTTTATTGTGCCACAATCTCTCTCTGTGCCACCGAGCAGGGCAGAGTGGAACAGAGAATTTACAAACCAACAGCTGCACCAAACGCCCCCAGCGCATCCCTGGCAGAGGGAAACCCTCCCTGACCAGGTGTAAATCCCTGCAGGGTCCCTGTCCCTGCCCCGCTGTGCTCAGGACACACCTCCAGATGGAGCAGGAGAAGAGCGCGCTGTCCTCGCTCACTCCGACCGTCATCTGCCACTGCTGCAGGGGGAGAGAGAGCCGGGTCAGCGCGGGGAGAGCCCTGCGGGGCCAAGCCTGCCCTCCGGGGGCAGCAGCAGCTCCAGGATCACCCAGCACCACCCCCAGCTACAGCAGGACCTCCAGGATCACCCAAACCCTGCCCTCC